AATCCAAGGCCGTGTGAGTGTCACGTGACCTTGGAGAGGGGCACAGCGACGCGCACAAAGCGTGTCACGGGCTACCGCCACAGAACGGGACTGGCTAGGATAGCTCGTAGCGTCCGCTGCGTCCGGACGTAAGGTTGCGCCCTGTTCTCCCCTAAATATACACAAGCGGCTGCGGTTCGGTAAGATAACGAATGCGGTTTCGAAATATACGGCGTAACACACAGCTACTCGAGATAGTTACAGTGCGAGATTACAGCGATCATTAGGGCTCAGGAAACACCCAAAAGGTGCATGAATGCATTACTATAGACCTTTTCCAGTTATTCTCGCCCTGACCGCGAAGTAGGCATATCCGGTATGGGCGATGAAAAAATAACGTTTCAACCTGCAAATAGTAAAAAAAAATAGAGGGGAGGCAAAACATGAATGTGTGACGGTTACGTTCATGCCCTAAATTCCTTCTATTGGCGTGGCGACGGCAAAACAATGTTTTCGCCCATACTGGAAGTGACGACAATTCAAGATGGCGGCGCCCTTGCGGGAAAGGTCTATACTTTTCAACCTTGCCTCTGCCCAAGATGCTTTTATTAATTTCTTTCCTGTGTAGCTTGTTTTCTGGTATGCCTATTAGCGGCGAGTTGTTTTGGTGGCGCCCTCCTATGGTTCCCCCTTGTTACGTCATACCTTGCAAACAACAAGTTCGATGGTGTTTGTAAATAGCATGGTGGAAGCTTGAAATCACTGAGCTCTTAAAGCAACACTGCCAACACCGTCAAAATTAAAGTTCTCTCATTCCTCTTATTTCCGTCGATGATAAATCCCCTTTCCTACGTCATAGTCAGCGTTCGGCCAATCGTGAAAGGCCGACCACAGCGACGCTTTCGGTCGTGCACGGGGCTAATAGACTGGAGACCTGACAACACATACTTCAGTTGCAAGTCAGTGCTGTGTGTACACTATTTTTTTTTCGTGGTCGTCTTTTAATTGGGTGCGCTGTTTTAATTGTTTTCGCAAGTATAGGAAGTATTCACTGGCGGCCATAGCTGTGCGCGCGACTGCTGAGCGCGTGCTGATGGCGAGCTTCTACAGTTCTTTTCTAACGTGCATTCCGCACCCTCAAGATTGCCGGTCTTAGCAGCCTATTAATGTGGGCTCGTACTGAGCATGCGCTTTAGACAGCACCCACAAATATGGCGACCAGTGAATACTCCTTATAGTAACTTACTTCATAACATTTTTGACGAGACTCAAATGTTGCATTGTCATAGAGAAGAGCACGATAGATTAAGTCAGATCGTGCTGGAGTGGGTCTAGAACAAACTAAAAAAAAAAAAAAATCGAGAATGCATTAAAAAACAAAGAAAAAAAAAATCCTCACAGTTCATAATTCGGGAATCCGTCAACCCAACCACGCTTGGCTCACCACTTGCAAGCCTTCACCGTAGACACACAATTCTCGCCCTCTATATCATCCTTGTGCGAGGAGTTTTAAAAGGAGCCGCTGTCAAGGGCAGCCGGGGCTAAGACCTTCCGTGCTTTGTCCGAGGCTGAGTGATACGTGGACGCTTTGTGGCAGACCGCGGTTGAAATGGCCGCACGCGGCGAAGAGCAGCTGCCTGAGATAGACCGACGACGCGGCATATTTCTCCTCGCACGGTCCGTCTGTAGAGCGAGCGTTGCCGCACACGCGGAAGCTGTCAGGAAAGCCGTCTCGGCCCCGACCCGCCAGGAAAACAGAAACAGCGTAAGAACCGTCATTTAAAGGCCATCAGCGGGGCTCCAGGATATCGCGTCTCCGGGGCGGATGACGGGGCCGACGAGCGCGCAGGTAAATATACCTGTTTTCCGGACGCGAAGCAGACGGGGAGGATTGCGCATCGGGAATACCAGCACGTGATCTCATCCACTGCGCAATCGAGGATCTACGATCGTACAAAAGATATACGGTATTCGCTCCAGGCATGACAGCATTATCTGCCGACACGACTCGAGCATATTCGAAGCATGTTTACTTCATATGTATGCGGAGCGCAAGTTCGTATGCTTCTTTGCAGTGGTTGTGGTGACGTCAAAAAGACGCAGAGCTCTGATTGGCTCGGATTGAAGGATAGTGGGTAGCAGGGCCGTAACCAGAAAAAAAATTCGGGGGGGGGGGGGGGGGGTTTCGGGGACAACGGCGGCCATTTTGTCTTATTTTCGCCTATGAATCATGTGCATCGGTGGCATATAATGGAGAGTTATAGCAAACCGAAGAACCGGTCCCGGTTTGGTACCCGGTAGCCGACCGGTGCCACTGCGCGTGCGCAGAGGTGGAGATTAAAATCGGCTGGCTGCAAGTGCACCGACCAGGGCCGTACCCAGAAAAAAATTTCGGGGGGGTCAGAACCCCCTAACCCCCCCCTGGTTACGGCCCTGGTGGGTAGACTTCAAGGCAGCTTGCTTTGAGGTCTGCCCACTATCTTCCAATCAGATCAAATCAGAGCTTGGCGTTCTGACGTCACCACCACCACTGCAAAAGGAGCAGACGAAGTTAAGCCTCTCATATGTATGCTTCGAACATGTCTACAGACAGTGTTTCTATGACTTTTGTAGGATGTATTGGCAGTGTGAATGCGCATTAAAGGCTCTGTTATACTCCGACGTCGAGCATAGCAAACGCGGCGAAGCGACCCACGCCGAAAATTTACAAAAAACCGACGACCCGCAAAAAAAAAAAAAAAAAAAAAAGGCTGAATTAGTGCATAGAGTTAGTACAATAAACGCTAGAGGCTCAGCTGGCGCTAGTGTCTACGGGACTTCCGGTTGCAAATTGAAGCAGACAGCATGCAGTCTACTTTTCCAGTCTTCCTGTGCATTCCTATGGGAAAACGCGCGTGAAGTTTGTCTCGTCGCCGGAAAATAACATGAATAACTTTTGTTATTTTGGTTTTACCGGATAGTATGTACCTTCATTATTATTGTGAAAGTGTAATTGCTTTAGTTACAGCGTTTTTCCTTTACAAACAAACGATGCTAAACTTCGCTATATTTCAGTCCCAAACCTGTGTTCCATGGCAGGTATGCAAAAACAAGCGACAATTCTAAGCAAAAAAAAAAAGAAAAGATTGAAGGGAATGTGGAGTGTGTTCAAAGTTCGCCAGCATTCCGTTGGTGCTTATATATCTTACTAATATACCTGCCCTCTCACTATATGAAAATGACCCCGTCGTGCATCTTTACGAGTGGTTAAAAAACATTCAAAACGTAAACAATAAAGCACGTGGGCTACGAAAAGTGTGTTTTCTTAATATTTCCTATGTTTGGCAGTTTTTATCGCGCACCTGTTTTCTGGCTTCCCACTATTTGCAAAGATTTGGAGCGTGCGGGTGATGATTTCAACACAGAACAAGCATCTTCGCACATATTCATGAGCAGAAAGAATAAAGCAGTACTGATCGTCTGCAAGCACAAGGAGTTACTTATCCAGTGTTACTGCGTAGTTCTTGCCGTCTCTCTTGGTTTTCCACATGTCCTTCGTTCGTTTGGCACGTATATCCCCAATGATGGAAAGGGTCGACGCCGTGTTCGCGCTAACAGTGTCCGACAGTGCACATAAATATGTGCACTGTCGGTCACTGTTACATAAACATAAATACACGTACGAAGCGGTCTTAACACCGTTTGTCATGCCGCGAATTTAAAATAAAAATGCTGTAACTGACCAAGTACTTCGTCTGCTTGACTGAGAAATGTTCCAATGTGCCTAGTACTGACAAATTATTTGTGATATTTGGTCTTATAATCGAGCGCAGAGAGAAAATGCACTCGCTTTTTCCCATAGAAATGCATTACCGGAAGTCAATTTCTGACTGCTTGCTGTCTGCTTCAAAATGCAACAACACACTAGCGCCAGCTGAGCCTCTAGCGTTTATTGTAATAACTCTATGGATCGGTGGCGGTATTTTTGCGCGCGCCGTGCCTTATAATGAGGTCTAAGTGCGCGATTAAGCCTACGACGACGAACATGGTCGAACCATACCAGTTAGCGTGTAACCAGACCCGTGCGCTTCCTGCGTTTGTATAGAAAGGCTGATTACGCCACGAGAGCGTTCCTGCGGATATCTTTCGCGAAAGTTATATTTCCGGGTAGCGTTGTCGAGTCATCTATTTTGTCGCGCATGGGTGGTTCAGGGCCGTGGTAATGAGTTTGGGCAGAGCACAGCGAAGGCCCGACATAATATAGCCGATGGCATGTCACGGCTATGCTTTTTTTATATATATATCCACCAATTTTTATAATTGGATTTCTTATTCCAGAGCACACAGAGAGTCAGTCATCTCACTGATTTGGTTTGAATGTCTGTGATTGTGCTTTTCTACTAGTCATGCTTTAGATATTTCTTTTTTTTTTATAGGTTTGTGCTGTGTTTTTTATATGTTTGCGTGTGTTTTTGTGACGTGTAGTTGTAAAAGATCCTTTTGTGTAGTCATTCTTTGCATGGGAAGAATCCTATCAAGGGCATCTGTTGGCCCTTTATTCCTCTACGATTTGTAACGCCACCACACCTATGTATTTTATTTTCAAGTGCATTTTATTGTGTATATCTCCTGCCTTGGCTGCGTATTAGCGGCCGGCAGTATCAATAAATAAATATATAAATAAAATAAAAAAATCGAGTCAAGCGAATGATGGAATATTACATAACGTTCCGACCGCCAATGTAAGATAACCACGAGCACGGCGTTTCACGTAACATATCAAAATATGTCGAATAATAGACTAAGCGTAGTTGTCAATCTCTAGGCTCCTGCTTTAGGTTACAAAGATGCGCTAACCATTTGTCCACGGAAAGCACGTAAGCCATTCCCAAAGCGTCGTTCCGGTGGTAACGCGACGACCAGCCATTTGCTGGCACGAGAGCGAATACCAGAAGGCAATTCAATTGATCTTCGAATCATTCGACTCTCTATAAAAATACGTAATGTGAAGATGCTGATTTTCTTTGTTTCTTTTTTTACAGGTACGCAAGCGCCGTGGCTTCAGATGCCTACTGTTGCTGCTGATACTCGCAGTGCCCTTGGTAATGTATATGGAATTGCCGGCCCTGCTCAAATCGACAGCAGCATCTTTAAGAAGGATGCGACAAGAGCTGAAAACCGTCGGAACGCCCGTTTTCCAAAGTGAGGCGCCGAAGATTATACTCCGGAAGATTGTAACAGACGACGCAGAAAGACGTGCGTGGGGGAGAAATAACATTACCGTAGTGCAACAACGTCGAGCTAGTTCCTCCAGACATTGGGAGCTACAGACATCGAAACGTAAGATTTCAATACCATCGGTACCAAAGGCAAGATGGCAACCTCCGTACGACAAATCACGTTACCGATTCACTATCAACCCTCAGCTCTGCTCCGGCAAAGCGGGTCGCAGCTTCCTCGTGCTGGTGCAATCCGCCTCTAGAAACACCGAACGAAGAAACGCCATCAGGGACACGTGGGCCTCGCCGACCAAAGATTCCTTCTCGGGCATACGCTTGGGATTCGTGTTGGGGACGCCCCGAAAGGCTTCACTCAATGACAAGGTGCTGCGAGAAGCAGACGAGTACCGCGACATCATCATGTCCAACTTCACAGAGTCGTACTATAACCTGTCCCTTTCCACCGTCACCCTCCTTCGGTGGGCCGTCGAAAACTGCGCCGGCTACGACTATCTGGTCAAGGCGGACGACGACGCCTTTCTCAACCTGACTGCCCTCAGAAAGTACTTGAGCGACAAACCCAAGAAGAATAGCATCTTTGGATACCTGATGAGGGGCTACCGGCCCAACCGACAACGGGAGAGCAAGTGGTACACGCCGCAAGACCTTTACAACAAGAGCCGATTGCCCGACTTCGTGAGTGGATTTGCGTACGTGATCACCGCGGACGCGGTACCCGAGCTTTACGCGGCTGCCAAGGTCATTCCATTGTTCCCCTTGGAAGACGTCTACGTGACGGGGATGTGCAGGGAGCGCACACGCACCGTGCTGAGGAACGCCGCCAGGTTCCACAACCACAAGAAGAAAAAAGCAACGAGCATCTGTTCGTACGCTAACGTCCTTGCTCAGCACGAGATGACGCCGGCGGAGATGCATACCTTGTGGCAGAAAATCAGCAGCCACGGATGCGATTAGGATGTCCCCTTTCTCTGGTAGAAGCGATTCTGTTATTTGCAGATTTGGCAACCAGGACCGGCAGAAGCACAGCCCCGCGCAGGGCCTCGTCCCTTCAGCATTTGAGTGAGTGAAAAACACTGCAGTGCTGAAAGGCCCGTTCGCTTTAACGAGGTGTGATGGCGGCTGTGAAATACCAGTTCCTAAAGCCCGTCCGAACGAAGGACAATTAAGAGCGACCGAAAGAGACAAAGGGCGCAATCAAGACCGTCGCCAGCTCCGCTTCTGGATGAAACCGTTATCGGCGACTCCAGTCAACCCCCGGAGGAAGCGAGACACGCCTTTAAGCCGTCCAACCGTGCCAGGAAATATGCGCGCCCGCAGCCACCGGGAAGCTTTTTACAATACTAAAAGTGAGGATGCCTGCAGGATTCGCGTGTGCCGACTGTTACAAACATGCTCATGTAAGAACGTCGTATGCCAGTCAACGTGAATGTCCCCCAAAGTCCCCGGCGTTCTTCTGATCGAGAATACTTGTAGAATAGTACACAACCTGAACAATTACCCAGGTTAACTTCTATGTGTGTCTGTTCTCACCTTCCTTCCTTCAACCGCGTGAATTTTTTTTTTTTTTTGTATTTTTGATGTTTATTGGCGTTCATGCGCGCGCCCCCGTACCAACTGCACACAGAAAGTTGTCCACGAGTACAGTCTAGGGTTCGGAAGGGAAGCCTGTGCAAGTGCCTTATTAACACCGGCCATAGTCAGACACAAGTTAAGAATGCACCAGAAGCTCGTCCCACACTCGCATTACCGCCAGCCACTGTTTCTCCGCGACGCGCAAGTAGTTCGCCACCGAGGCTACCGCGTATTGGTCGAGAGCGCAGCCATTTTTAAAACATCGCGCTGACGTCACATAACTCGTCATGTATACCTTCGTCCGCGGAGTGATTCGACGCCGTGGCTGGTGCGTGGTGGTGTATATTTGGTGCAGCCTCAACTGTGTGAACCTGTGCAAGCATCGTGGTGGCTGACAGACGCACTGCAATGATGTGCGCGCGGAATGAGCGCTGATTGGGGAACACTCGGACTTTGCGAGAAAGCCCTGAAAAGGACATTTCTCGGTGACCTACAATAATTCTCAGAACAAAACTTCGGAAGGTCTATACGTTGAAATAAATTATATGTTTTGATCAAATACACATATTTCCACTTCTGGCGCCGCACATTGTATTTGTAACTTATAAGCGGCATGTATACGGGCTTAGCAACGTTAGATGTTTACGGTTTGATGGTATTTGTTTCTCACATTATTCCTGCTGTATTTTATCATTGTAAAGTCAACGTCAAGTTGAGCGCTGCTGTAACATATAAAATCACTAAGCAAGCGGTGCACAAAAGCGAGTGACAGTGCAGAAGTAAACCGTTCCCTTGGCTGCTTGATAGCAATCCCCTAAAAGGCCGCGTTACTATGACCGGTATCTCCCCTATCAACTATGGTAGTATGATAACAGAAAAACGTAAACACGGCGATTTCATTGGTTTGTGTTATTTTGGAGCAACTCTTGAATCAGGCGGAGGTTCATTTGGGAGCAGCAAAATGAACTGTCCTCATGCGTTTCCCTGTTTAACCAAAAGACCAGCTTGAAGTTATTATTCTCAGACACGCAACTATAGACCCTTCTTCAAGGGCGCCGCCATCTTGAATTGTCGTCACTTCCAGTATGAGCGAAAACATTGTTTTGCCGTCGCCACGCCAATAGAAGGCATTTAGGACATAAACGTAACCGTCACACATTCTCGTTTTGCCTCCCCTCTATTTTTTTACTATTTGCAGGTTGAAACGTTTTGATTTTTTTCAGTCGCCCATACCGGATACGCCTATAAGGTGGCTGGGAACGGGAGTACACAGAAAAGATCTTATATAAAAGTACCAGCCACAACAAGAATCTTGTGCCAAGAGTAATTATTTTAACACAGATTGTGTTTATCAATCAATCAATAAATAAATAAATAAATAAATAAATACTTTATTTTCTTTCACAAGAAAGATGGCAGCGGGAACAAAAAAAAAATCTGCAACAAGTGCAGCTTGACGAGGCCCCAGCTCAGAAATGGCAGCTAGCATTCGGCACCAGTGTAACATGAACTAATACACAGCAATGCAAGCAAAATAAATATATACACAGGCGTACTTTTAGCTCAAAGTACAAAACAAAAACAAAATTAACAAAATAAAACATTCAAGTTACTTAGTACACCAGTTAACAATGCACACCTGAAAAGTTATAACAAATAACTAAGATTCACGGGGTAGATAGAATATGAATTATTATTTCTAATGGCAAATTGTGAGAAAAATGTTCCCTATGATAAAACGTTTTTAGTAAGGATGGTAGAGTGCACCTAATGGATCCTAGCCCATAGTTCGTTCGGGGGGTGGGTGGATACCACTGTTCGATATATGTTTGCGTGCGATATATGTTTGTATTATTAAGTTGAATATTTGGAGAATATGGCTACGTTCACTCTTTATTGCAACATTGTATAAAGCTAGGAGGCGGAAGTTATACATGTTTGTAAAAAACGGCCCCGGATCTGTGTGAAAAAAAAAACAAAAAAAAAAACGATACATTCTATTCTGTAAGCTAGTGGTAGATCATCTACCATGGTCTTGTTCGGTCATATTGCCACGCTCGTCGGCGAGCGACCGCGTGCACGCTTCGCGATGCCGTGCGTGATTTCGACATCGTGGACGTCACCGAGGTGCTGGACAGTTTTTCGCCACGCTTCACCCGATGGCAAGGACCCTCCCAAGCCAGACTGGATCGAGTGTACGTCTCGAGCGAACTCGGCGATCGGATCCAATCTTACGACGCGAAACTTGTGCCTTTCTCTGACCACGGCTTCGTCGCCACCGTGCTCCGATCCGGAGGGCCCCGGCCCAGGCGGGCACGACGAGACACCACGTGGAAAATGAACGCCAGCGTCTTGGAGGAGGAGGAGTTCGTGAGGGAAACGAGGCACGCACTGGAGGGGCTTGCCGAGTGTGGCGTGGTTGCGGTTTCCTGGGAACAGTTTAAGGAGCAGCTCCGAGAGTCCGCCTCCGCATTCGGCCGTCGGAGGGCTGCCGAGGCACGCCAGGTACGAGACCACCTAACTAGGACCCTGAAGATTCTTCTAGAAGAAGAAGAACAAGACCCCGGCGCCTTTCGGGAGGATATAAAAAACTGCAAGGACGAGCTGCTCGGACTTCTGGAGGAACGCTATAAAGGGGCGCAGGTGAGGAGCAGGGTGGAAGCACTCGAAGGGGAGATACAGCCATCCAAGATCTTCCGCACGCATGAGAGGCGGAGAGTGAAGGAAAACGCCCTGAGGGAGGTGCGTGGCGAGGGGGGCGTCGCGACCTCGCAAGAAGAGATCGCCGCCATGTTTGAGGAGGCCTACGGGAGGCTTTTCCGGGAGGAGGAGCTGGACGAGGATGCCTTCGTGTCTGTCCTACGTGGATCGCCCACCGTACCTGACGAGACCACCGACGTTATGAACTGCCCCATTAGGCCATCCGAAGTGCAGCAGGCCATTAAAAAGCTTTCCCGTAACAAGGCGCCCGGCCCGGACGGCATTGGAGCAGAGTTTTATCAAATGTTTTCGGACGCGATTAGGCCCATCCTCGCTGAGGTGTTTAATGACATAGAGTCACGAAAGCTACTACCTCCGTCAATGAGGGAAAGCTTTACGGTCTTGATTCCCAAGAAAACCAAGAGCGGCCCCATCGCTGAGACGACTGACTTCCGACCAATTAGCTTACTCTGTTGCGACTACAAAATTCTGGCGAAAATCCTGGCGAGACGACTGGACATCGGGCTCAGAAAGATCATAGGGCCCCATCAGAGTTACGGGATCCGCGGCCGCTCGATCGCGCGGAACCTTCACGTCATGCGCACCGTCTGCGAAGCGACCGCGGAGGGACACCAGCCCCTTGCTGTGATGCAGCTCGACCTCCGCCAGGCGTTCGACAGGGTATCCCACAAGTTTCTCCTGGCGGCGCTGGATCACTTCGGCGTGGGAGAGAGGCTGCGAGAGTGGATAGCTTTGTGCTATCGCAAAATCGGCACGCGGCTGCTCATCAACGGAGTCAAGGGTGCGCGCATCCCTATAGGAAGATCGGTCCGGCAGGGGTGCCCCCTTTCGCCAATCCTTTTTGCCTTGCAACTTGAACAACTATGCCGCGCCATCAGTGAAGACCAGAGCATCAGGGGACTGCAACTGGGAGACGGGAAGGACGTCAGCGTCTTGGCATTCGCAGACGACGTGGCCTTCATCTGCTCGTCAAAGAAACAGGTGGAGGCCGTCCTGCAGCACGTGGACGTCTACACCGCCGCATCGGGCGCGGAGATTAACCCAGAGAAGTCGATGGGCGCTTGGCTTGGTTGTTGGGCCACAACTCCCCCAAGATTCGCAGGGATAGGCTGGAGCACCTCGATCGGAAACTACCTTGGCGCCCCTATCGACCCAGGGCAATCGGCGACGGCAGTGTGGAAAAGGGCCGCCAACTCCATGGTTGCGAAGCTATCGCCGTGGCAGCCTAGATATATATCCGTCTTCAACCGCGTCCAGGTCTGCAACACCGTGACTTACCCGGCCGTGTTCTACAGGGCTCAGGCCGTCTGCTGCCCGGGGGTGACGGCCAAGAAGATCCACAGAAGCTGGGCCACTTTCGTTTGGAGGTCGCCATGGGAGCGGACGCGACGCGACAACCTCTTCCTACACCAGGAAAGCGGAGGCCTCGGCCTAGTTAACATCGTCATCAAGCTTAACGTGCAGCGGTTCCTTCTATTTCGGGACGCAAAGGAGCCAACGCTCCTGAGCGCGCTGCACCACCTCGGTTTCCCTTACCTGGGGAGGTGGATGGTCAGCACGTGTGGACGTACGGCGAAAGCGGCGGCATTACGCTTTTACAGCGAAATCGCAGAGGCCATACAGTTCTTCTTGGCCTTGTTTTCTTGGGATTACTTAACAACCGTCACTAAGAGGAAACTATACTGGGACACGGTTGCAGCAACTTTCCCGCCACCTCTGCACAGGCCGCCACCAGTTCCCGACGGAGCGGCGCGTCTCTTCAGGTTCGTGCGACGCCTCCCCACTCCCACGGCGACAAAGGACTTCTTCGTCCGTATGCACATGGAGGTGCTCCCCGTCAAGTCGTGGCTGCATGGGAAGGGACTCTTCGTGCCCTGGTCTCTCAACTGCGACCTCTGCGGGAACACCGAGACCATCCAGCACGTCCTTGTCGAGTGCTCGAACGCCTACTTGTTCTGGGACGAGATGAGGACGTGCTTCCGCCTTAGGTCGGCCTTTGACGTTGAGTGGGGTACTTTCAAGTACCTCCTTCTTGGTGACGGAGAAGGGACGGAGGTGACGAGCGTGTTGGTGTTGCTGGGGCTACACGCCATCTGGCAGTCGCGCACAGCAATGGTGCAGTGCCACTTGGATGCGCGTCGAACCTGGGACTATTTCCTGGCTAAGCTGGACTGGGTGGTCTCGGTGGCCGGCAGGGGGGCAACGGGAGGGGCGGAGGAGTGGCAGGGCCTGAGGAGACAGCTCGAGTCCAGAGGGTATAGCCCGGGGCGCCGGCTTCTAGGTGGCCACGGCTGTCGGCTGCCCTCTTTCGGGCAGGGTTCGGTTATGTGAGGGGGGCGGTGCGCGTGCGAGGCCCCCTTTTTTCTTCTTTTCCTTTTCTCCTTCTGTTCGTAATTTTTTTCTTCCTTTTTTTTCATCTGTAATATTTGCTGAGCGTGGCGCGCATCGTGTGTGCGGGAGCACGTATGAGCACGCGAGGAGAGCGGCGTGAGCAGCCGGAGGTGCTGTGGGGACTCAGGAGTTCCCATGGGGCCAGAAAACAGACCACGTGCGTCCTTCGTCAGGTACCGCCTGAGCAGGCGTTCAAACGGATGGAACTTTCCAGCTGGCGTTTCTCCTCAGACATCGACGAACAGTGTGCAAAAGGGCTGAGTGTAAAATTGAGTGTAAAATATTGCTTTGCATATTTATTGTAAATAAAGTTCTTGTTACAAAAAAAAAAAAAAAAAAACCGCGTGCGTGGCCGAGTGGTTACCGTGCTTGACTGTCGCGCGGAAAGTCTGGGTTCGATTCTAGTCAGTGGGATGCTCTTTTATTTATGCTTTCAACATTGCGTTCTAGT